GGCTGCAGGAAGGGAAGATTTAATCTCCTTGTCACCCCAGCCCTGCCACCAGATGCCTCCAGCAGGTTGCAGTTCAAGCCTGCAAACAGAAGCTGCAGCTGCTCCTAAAGGAGCCAGGGCTGAGATGGAGGAATCAAAACCTAAAACCAAAAAAGTAGTAGAAGAAGAAGAAAATAAGGCTGTGGGGAGGTGCTGACAGCTGGGAACTCCCATGAGACACTGTCTGGGAAAGCCAAGGAGCTTTGGAATATTGGCAACACAATGAAATCCCTGCAAGGAGGATTAGTAAGATCATAGAAATCAGCAGCTTTTAAAGGAACAATCACTTTCCACTTCTCACAACATGTTATTGGGTTGGTTTTTTTTTCCTCCACCAACCTCCAAAGCTTTGGCAGTGGGGGAGGGTGGGATGGGTACTGAAGGCATGAGGTCTGGGGGTCTGCAGCCCATAACTGCCCTGAGCAGCAGCACCAGGGGCACCAGCAGGACTTGGCAGGATGAGAAATAACCCTCCAGCCACACACCCTCTGACTGGACCAGCTCCTCGAAGTGGTTTTGCAAAGGCAATAACCATCTCCCAAAGGGTAGCAAACCAGACAGACACCAACCTGCCCCAGGGCAGGGACCCGTGGTGGGGCAGGTGAAGGTCTGTTCCCCACTGCTTTCCCTGCCAGTAAAAGAGGAGGAGGAAAACCCCACAGCTGAAAAGCTTGGGGCTAAACCCCCCCTTCTTTCCAAACCTTTCAGAACCCTTAGCAGCCTGTGCCCACCACCCACCCTCCCACTGCCAAGGTCCCTCACTCACTGGCAGCCCCGGTGGTCCCGGCAGCCCCGGTGGTCCCGGCTTCACGTGCCCCTGCTGCCCTGGTGAGATGGGGTGTCCTGGGTGGGCAGCCCTGTCCCCAAGCCCTGGGGCAGCAGGGCTGGCTGGCACTGGAGGATGCTCAGGGACACCCAGTGCTGACCCTGGGGAAGCTCTGGACGTGGTTCCTTTGGGAGCAGCTGCCTGAGGTGCCGATGGAGAGACCTTGGTGAAGGTGGCAGGCAGGTGCAGGTGGGTGAGGGCACCACCAGGTTTGCTGGGTGACTGGACCCACCAGGTGTCCCCAGCACCTGTCACCTTCTCCATGGTGACGTTCTCCTCCCGGGGGTCAGAGCCACTCTCCTCCTTGGCTGCTCTGAGTGTTTTGGTGGAGGCTCCTGGGTGGACAAAAGCAGCATCAGGTACTCCAGTATGGTCATGGTGTGCAGGAGAAATGGAGGAAACCATGACCAGGGACTCACCAGGGTTCCCAGCCCCCCACAGGCTGCTCCTGCCAGGGCCTGTCATTTTGTTATAGGTGGAGTTCAAGAGCTCAAAGCCTTCCTCCTCAATAGAAAGGCTGCCCTCCTCCTCCTCGTCCTCCTCAGCTGATGGCATCTCAGGAGCTGAGAGGAAAGTCAGGGTGCTCCCATCAGGCTGGAGCTTGGGGGTCTCCTGGGCAGCCTCCCACCTCCAGGGTGGCCCCGGGGCCAAATCTGAACTGGTGAGGCTGGAGTCCTGAAAAAGAAGAAGGAAACACAACATGAAATAGCAAGTTGTCACATTTCCCCCCCCTGCCTTCCCAACAGCCTCCTGCTCCTTCATTTCCCACCTGCACAGAAGCTGCCAAGAGGGATGAAGAAGCTCAGAGCCCACCAGCTCCAGGCAGGACCCCCCCAGGCTCCAGGGCAGCCCCTCAGCATCAGGCTGGTCCCTTCAGCCACCAAAACCCCCCAACTCCCCAAGGGACAGAGTCCCGAGTGACACCAGGGATCAGTCTGCCCCTTTGCTCTGTGATTCTGCTCCTTCTGCACCTTTCCAGGCTCCTGGGGGTCTCAGGGGAAGGGTCCAGGCAGGGCAGGGGGGAGCTGGTCCCCTCCCACCCTTCCAGGGCTGTTACCAAAGCTCCAGCTGGGAAGGGGAAGGTGGACACAAGCCCAACTGGAGCCTCCAGATGCTTGAGGCACCTTCATTTAAGGCAGTGCCTTGCAGGGGGCTCTGCAGCTGCCACATGCTGTGGTCCCTGCAGGACAACAGGGGTGACAAAGGCTCTTGCAGCCCCCCAGACACCAGCAGAGCCCAAACACCACCCGTGGGCGGGGGGAAAACACTGTCAGAAATATCTCCACTCAAGACAGAAGCACTGAGAGTGACCTGCATCTCAGCACCCACCCCTTCTTCATGCAGCCCCAGGGGGTGTCAGGCACTTGCACACTGAGCCCCAGCCCCAGGGTTGGGCCTTCCCAACAGCCTCCTGCTCCTTCATTTCCCACCTGCAGAGAAGCTGCCAAGAGGGATGAAGAAGCTCAGAGCCCACTAGCTCCAGGCAGGACCCCCCCAGGCTCCAGGGCAGCCCCTCAGCATCAGGCTGGTCCCTTCAGCCACCAAAACCCCCCAACTCCCCAAGGGACAGAGTCCCGAGTGACACCAGGGATCAGTCTGCCCCTTTGCTCTGTGATTCTGCTCCTTCTGCACCTTTCCAGGCTCCTGGGGGTCTCAGGGGAAGGGTCCAGGCAGGGCAGGGGGGAGCTGGTCCCCTCCCACCCTTCCAAGGCTGTTACCAAAGCTCCAGCTGGGAAGGGGAAGGTGGACACAAGCCCAACTGGAGCCTCCAGATGCTTGAGGCACCTTCATTTAAGGCAGTGCCTTGCAGGGGACTCTGCAGCTGCCACATGCTGTGGTCCCTGCAGGACAACAGGGGTGACAAAGGCTCTTGCAGCCCCCCAGACACCAGCAGAGCCCAAACACCACCCGTGGGCGGGGGGAAAACACTGTCAGAAATATCTCCACTCAAGACAGAAGCACTGAGAGTGACCTGCATCTCAGCACCCACCCCTTCTTCATGCAGCCCCAGGGGGTGTCAGGCACTTGCACACTGAGCCCCAGCCCCAGGGTTGGGTTGATGGGTGGGTGTGAAGGAGCTTTGCCTCTCCTGGCTCAGCTGGCAGCGTTTCCAGCAGCCCCACACGCCCACCAGCCCCTGCTCACAGCTCCATCCTTCCCCCAAGCTCCACAGGCTGGGACAACTCAGGTGACACCTCAGCTGCTGGCATCTCAGGGCTGGTGCCAGGGAGCTGGTGGAGATCAGTCTGCAAGGAGTCACTAGAGGGAGATGCAGGCCCACGCTTGCCTCGTGGGGCTGCAGAGGGTAAGAATCACAGAGCATCCCTCCCATAGTCCTTCCCATCCTACCTCCTGTTGGTGGAACCCACTTCTTGGCTCTGACTCTGCTCTGCACCACGGCCCGTGCTCTCCTGGGAGCACCAAGGGGGGGTTTGCATGGATAGCAAATAGGAAAAGCAACAATTTCTCTGCCAGAACTGGGGATTCTGCAGGGAAGAACCTCATGGTACTGGTGGGTCAGGGGACCTGGCTCCAGCCAAGCCCAAACTTGGAGGCCCCTGGGAAGCAGAGGAGCTTCCATAGGCAGCAGGAGCTGCTGAAGCCTTTGCTGTGCTGCTGGTGTCACCCCCCCAGCTTGGAGAGCTCCAAATTTCCCATCCCCAGTGGGGAGGAAAAGTGAAAATTTTCATCTTTCCATGTTCAAATGTCAAATGTGAAGAGTTTATTTTAAAAACAGCTGTAGTGCTTCTCTGTCAACTGGGACCATTCTCCTTCATGTATTTATTTGGGGGGAGGGTCCCATGTCTTCGTTCTAGATAATTTGTTGTCATTCCCTTGGATTTCAAGCTTTCATGCCCAAATGATTTTACAAGCTCAACCCCATCACCAATCAGACAAAAACATGTTTTGTGTTGCTTTGGTTTTTTTCTTCAAATGTCAACATGAAGCCTTCTGACAACTTTTTGTCCCTTCCATAAACCCACCCCAAACAGACTCTTTGCCCACCAGAAGTTCCAACCACAGCAAAGCAGCAGCCTCTTCAAAATGTAGCAATACCAAAAAATCCCCCACCCCTGCTGACACCAGCCATGGCCTCAAGCCCTGGGTGTCTCCATGGAACACCTCCAGCCTCATGCCCACAGGAGGAGGATGGCTGGGCCCACAGCTGGTCCCTCTGATGCTGCAGTAGGTTATTCCATGGGGGATGTACCCAAGATGACTTGTAGGAGCCACAGGAACCCACCCTGGGTCACATTCAGGGCTCACCTGAACCTTCTTGCTCTCTAATCTCTGCAGCTGCAACTGAGAGAGGGGCTTGTGACCAACCACTCCAACTCCTCCTGAAGCCATTCTGAGCCAAGACACTCTGTGTATAGACATTTTTGGGAAAAGCAGGAATATTTCCACTTCCTCAGCCCTTCATATAAATTTTTCAGCCCAGCTGCAGATGGAGACTTGACCTCCTCAAAGGGAGAGGCAGTGGCCCTGTTGATCTGTTCCTCTGGCCAGTACTACATCCCAGGTCCAAGGGCCACCATTCCTCCATCACCAGGAATGTTTTGCCCCCAAATGGTGTTGGGGGCCATAGTTTCCAAGAACAGTGTCTGCAGTTGGTGTCAAGCAGGTCAGTGGTGCAATGCAGCACCAAGAAGGGAGGGTTGAGAGGCAGAAAAGACAAAAAGCCAAGGAAATAGAGATGGCAACTGGGAAAGCAAAGGCCAGAGTGCCCAGCCAGCACCTCCTTCCCCAGAGACCTCTAAGCAGGTCCTGCCCTGCAGCCTGGAAACCCCATGGATGCAAATGAAGAACAGGAGAGAAGGGAGAAGTGGTTCAGACCAGGAGAAGACCATGCTAATTCACCTCCAGCCAGGTCCCTTGACACAGTTGCAGCAGTTAGATGCTCTCAGGTTTTCCCCTGGGCACTACCCAGCCCCCAGTTCCACCTCCAGACCAGGAAAAGACTTTTCCTGAGCAGCACCAGTGCCTGGGCAAGATTGAAGGAGATGGAGCACCAGGCAGCAGGGCAGAGCACCTGAAGGGGCCAGGCTGCAATGAAGCTGTTTCCATCCACCTTCATGTGCAACCAACAAGCTTGCTGAGTTTGGAACAAATTAAGACAAGCTGCTAATTAACTCACAGTGGTTTTGCTGCCTTGGAGGTGGAGGGAAATCAAGTTTCCAACAGTGAGGGCAGGGGAGCAGCCAGCACTGCTCCTCCCAGCACAGGCAGGCTGGGCTGCAGCAGCACAGCAAGCTTCCTGAGCCTGGCCAGCTGGCACATCCCTGTCCTCATCCTAGTGTCCTGGCCAGCTGGCACATCCCTGTCCTCATCCCAGTGTCCTGGCCAGCTGGCACATCCCTGTCCTCATCCCAGTGTCCTGGCCAGCCCATGCTCTCTGCTCAGGGACACAGGAGCCAGGGAAGATGCTGGTGGCCAGTGGGTCTGAGACAGCATTGCAAGCTGAGCAAACCTCACCAGGTGGACATGCCCTGCCCTGCATTGGTTTGGGTGCTGCTGTAGTTTTCAGGCAGATCTGACCTATCCCATGGCCCAGAGCACAGTGCTGGGAATGGGACCTGAGGGCAGGACAAACCCTTTCCC